GATTCGACAGGAGCAAGAACTCGAGGCGGAAACAGCTCACAGGAACAGATGGAGGAACCAAGACATTTGGGGCTACGATCGACGTATATACAACCAAGCCACTGTGTTCTTCTTCACAAACTTTCCTGACGAATGGAGCTATGAAAACATGTGGCAAACTTTTCGAAGATTTGGAAGAGTTTTGGCCATTTATAGCCCACCGAGGAGAACAAAGAGGGGGAGCAGGTTCTGATTCGTTAGATTCCTTGAGGTTAAAGATGAAAGGGAACTGGAGCACCAATTGGACCAGATCCGAATAGGAGACTTCAAACTTTGGGTCAATAGACCAAAGTTTATGGAAAGGGAAAGCCACAGAGATTCGGACCATGGGCTCTGCAAAAAAGAAAGTGTAAGAGGGCAAAGGACCTATGCCGATGTTGTAAAGGGAAGCAGCGAAAAAGAGCCAAATCGAATGAATAAATCAGAAGCAACCGGAGACCCAATTCTCTGGCAACAAAAGAGAGGCAACAGGAAAAAAACCCCGTCTCAAGCCTGGATACCGAAGGTCAAAGAGCAGGTGAAGCACACTTTAGAGTTCATGGTGAAGGAGGAAGACTTATCTTGGCTAGAAGGATGCTACGTTGGGGTAGCTCGTTCAGTAGAGATAATCCCGACACTACAGGAAAAGTTCTTCATGGAAGGCTATTTCTCCTGTAAAGTAAGAGCAATGGGAGGAAGGCTAGTGTTATTGGAGGGAGGAGACAAAGAAGAGATTAAGGATCTGGTTGAACAGGCATCTCAATGGCTAGGACAGTGGTTTTCGGAGGTTAAACCTTGGAAATCATCAATGGTTTCCAGAGAAAGATTTGTCTGGTTACGATGCCAAGGGGTTCTAACCCATGCGTGGAGACCAGATTTCTTCGCCTCAATTGGCGTAGTATGGGGTAAATTCATCACTTTGGATGACAGCACCAGTTTGAAGAAGAGATTGGATATTGGACGACTTCTTATCTCCACTACAGCAATGGAGTTCATTTCGAAGGTCTTGAATGTCAAGGTTAATGGGGAGCCTTTCATTATTAAAGTTATGGAAGAAGAGGCCACAAATGGCATTTTTTCAATGAAGTCCGATCATTTGTTTAACATGAGGAGTGACTCTGATAATGATGCTTCGGAATCATGGTCTGTGGATAGCGAATTTGATAATGAAATAATGGAGTTCGTCCAAGAAGGCGGTGGGGCTAAGGGGTTTCGGAGCTTGCTGGATGGAAAGATGGAAGATGATGACGTGGAAAAGGATGACATAGAGACAGACACGGAATCAAGGGGTGAGCTAGCTCATACCCGTTGGAAGAAGGAGCGACAAACTGGAAAAGAAGACCAGTTTTCGGCTGTGAATGACGTCTCAATTAATGCTGAAGGTTACCAAGAAGATTTTGCAGATAGCGGGGAAAAGAGAAATCATTTTCAAAACCTCGAAAATCTTGATATGACACCAGCAGATTGGGTAACAGTGCCTGAAACACAACCAATCGGTCAAAAGAAACAACATCGGAGGGATGAGGGTGTTGAGCCTTACAAGCATGCAAACCCAATAGTTCAAGATGGACGCGGGACCAAAATAGTCTCAGAATTAGCCCAACAGGAAGTTAATGGGCCGGTAGACAGTGGGCCAAATTCAGTGGATGTTTGTCACTCGCGGGAGGATGAGGGGGCTAATCCAATAAACTCTAATTGTGCTGATGTGGAAGCAACATCTCAGAAGGACCAAGAGAAGGAGAATAGTAGCACCGGCTCGAGACTTCCCCAGATGGCGCAGAAGGAGCCAAGCTTCTGGGAAGGCTTCATGACAGAATCAGGATCTGAAAAAGAGTGGATGGGGCGAAATCTCAGGAGGTTAAGCAAGTTGAGGAAAAAGAAAAGCAGATCCTGCGCGTCGGTATACAGACAAGGAAGAAGGGAAGAGCGGCGAAGCAAGCCAGAAAAAGGTGCAAAAAGATCAAAAGAGCGAGAAGCCGAGGTGGGGAGACCAAAATTCCATCCGGGATCCCAAAAGCAAGTCGCAGGCGAATCCGTCAACGATAGCGGAATCGGAAACAGAAATGAGATCCTGAAGAGAGCACAGGAATCGTGTATCGTGGAAAGGATCTGGGAGTTTGCTAAGGAAATTGGAGCAGGTCACGGTGGCAATGAACATGAAGTAATTCGAAGGCTAAAAGACATGGAGGAAAGGGACAAGGAGCTATTCAGGAAATCTAAGGTTAGTGCTGATGTTTTTGTGGGGACGGATGGTATTAATCTTAAATGATTTTCTTGTCTATAAATACCAGAGGAATAGGAGGGGAGGGTAAGAAATATGGAGTTAAAGAATTAGTTATCAAAGAGAAGGTTGAATTTTTGTCTATACAAGAATCAAAGACAGAGGTGGTGGACTATCAGCTATGTAGGTCTATATGGGGTGCAGATAACTTTGATTGGGTAGCAAAGCCTTCAAGAGGGACTTCTGGTGGCTTATTATGCATTTGGAATAAGGAAATATTGAAGAAAGAAAAAATAATTGAAGGGGAGGGTTTTGTAGGGGTGTTCAGCTTTTGGGGGGTTTCGACAACTCCGGTATATATTATGAACATATACTCTTCATGCGAAATGTCGGGGAAAAGGGCTCTGTGGTCTAGTCTGGAAAATTTGATTTTGGGGACGGGTGGGAACTGGTGCTTAATGGGGGATTTCAATGCTGTAAGAAATGAGCAGGAATGGAATGGGGGAACTTCTAGAAGGAGGGAAATGGCGGAGTTTGACAGTTTCATTAGGGATTGCGGCCTTATTGATTTACCACTAATAGGACGTAAATTCACTTGGTATCAGCCAAATGGAACAGTTATGAGTAGATTGGACAGGTTCCTGCTTTTCGAACAATGGTGTATCAATTGGGGGGATGTCAAAAAATGGGGATTGAAGCGAACAATAGCGGACTACAGTCCAATTTTACTAAAAAATCAAATAATCGATTGGGGCCCCAAACCTTTTCGATTTTTTGATATGTGGATTGATATTCCAGAGTTCAAGGAGTTAGTGAGAAGAACATGGAGGTCAACAAAGATCACAGGATGGCACGGATACCGTTTAAAAGAAAAACTAAAGGAAACAAAGAATGTTCTGAAGGTCTGGTGATGAGCTAAATTTATATACATATTAATAGGGAATTTTTACTTTGATTTTATTGATATTTGGATGAGTTTTATAGGATTTTGTTTGATTTTACATGGTTTTCATTTTTTGTGTAGGAAAGGATTTAATTGAAAGAAATCATACTTTTTAGAAGTAAATTTAAGAGATCAGAGACTTAAGGATCAACTTATGCAGAATCCAAAAGTCAGGAACCAAATCTGCTATTTTACCACTGAAGAAATTGCAAAAGGAGAGCAGAAACCCGACACGGGTGTAGTGTCGACACATCATCGGGGTGTCGACACCATGCGCTAAACGTCCAGCATCATATTCTGTTTTCTATTTGTGTCAACACGTAATCCGTAGTGTCAGCACCATGCGATCAGCATCTAAAATCCAAGTTCTACTTCTATTTCAATTAGGGTTTTTAAAATCCTATAAATACCCATCCAAATTCAGAATTAAAGAGCTTTGAGAGGCTGGTGGTAGCCCTTTTTTGGGTATTCTTGAAGGTCAAGATAGAGGATTCAACAATAGAAGATCAATGATTGCAATTTTTTCAAATTAGGTTTTATTTTTCTTTAGATATTTTTGTGTTCATAATTGTGATTTCAAATTTTCTTATTTTTATTATGAACTGATTTATTCTACTAGGGTTATGATGTAGCCTAATCAATTTAATATAGATTTTGTGATTTTATTCTTTCAATTTAAGTTATTCACGTAAGGAGTTTATATTATTAAATTTAATGCATTGGAAGCCTGATCATCTTTCAATTGATTTAGTGATTTATGCATGAACTTGAGAAAGAATTGCGTAGATTAGACCAATAATAATATAAACCGTGTGTTAGACTATGAGACCGAGAGGTAATTAGCTTACATGTGGTAGTGGAGGAAGAGAAGAGAGTTAGTAGCTCCCCCTTCTTAAGCTAGAGGTTTCCATAGAATTTAATGCTCATAAGTTTGTTTAAAATTATATAGAGATATGATTAATTTAACAAACAAGTGAAGGATTAGGTTGACTTGAGAAAGCTGGTTAATTAATTTAGGGAAATCCGTCATCACATGCAATAACATTCAACAATTTGGTAATTCAGAATTTATATTGATTGATTATGGTGAAGTCAATGCCTTAGTACCTCATATCTTTGTTAGTTTTATTTTAATTGTTAGTTTTTTTTTTGTTATTTTAATTAAAATTCCATCTTTTCGATTGTTCAAATAAATTTAGATTAATTATTTTGGTACTTAATTAGACACAATCCTCGTGGGTTCGACACTCTTCTCATCATTATATTACTTGGAGTGACTAGTACACTTGCTAGAGTGATTTTAGTGCATCATCTGGAGTAGGAGCATTTTGCCTGAGGTGGACTCCAACATCCAAAAATGCAAGGAGTCTATTGCTATGGACTTGAAGGCAGAAACATCCGCGTTATCGGCCGAGGAAGTGGATCTGAGAAAGAATAGCTTTTTACAATTGTGGAGATGCCAGAAGATGAAGGAGAGCATGTGGCATCAAAAAGCTAGAAAGTCATGGATGAAAGATGGGGATGCGAACACCAAATTTTTTCATAGGTGCGTTAAGGGAAGAAGGAGAAGGAATGAGATAGTTAGTATTCAGGTGGGAGACAAAGTCTCGGATCAGGTTCATGAGATCAAGGAAAAGGTGGCCAATTATTTCGAGAAGGTATTCTCATAAGACAGATGGCAACGCCCTCACCTCGATGGGATTGTATTTAAAATGATCTCTGAGGATGAGAATTCACTATTGCTAGCTCCGTTCAGTGAAGAGGAGATAAAGCAAGCGGTATGGAGTTGCGACTGCTCCAAAGCACCAGGACCTGATGGTTTTAATTTTAGGTTCGTAAGAGAAATGTGGGAGGAAATCAAGGATGACATGATGGGCTATGTGGAAGATTTTTATAAGCATGGTAAACTGGTCAGAAGGATAAACAGTTCATTCATCGTGTTGATCCCCAAAGTGATAAATCCCCAAAAAATTGAGGAATTCCATCCCATATCCTTGATCGGGGTGATGTACAAGGTGATAGCAAAGCTCCTTGCTAATAGACTCTGTGCAGTGGTGGACAAAATAATTGGAGAAAGCCAAATGGCGTTTGTTGGAGGAAGACAAATGGCGGACAGCATTGTTATTGCCAACGAAATAATTGATAAAGTAAAGAGAAAGAAGAAAGCTAGTTTTGCATTTAAAGTAGACTTCGAAAAAGCATATGACAATGTGTGTTGGGAGTTTTTGCAATACATGATGTCAAGAATGGGTTTTGAACCGAAGTGGAGAAGATGGATAGATGAGTGCTTGAGAACAGCAGAGGTATCTGTTTTGATCAATGGCAGCAATACCAAACAAGTAAAAATTAACAAAGGCCTTAGACAAGGGGATCCGCTATCTCCTTATTTATTTTTGATAGTAGCTGAAGGCCTTAATGGAATCATCTCCTCAACAGTTAACCGGGGACTTTTTGAGGGGATCAGCGTTGGCAGCAATGAAATGAAATGATCACACCTTCAGTTCACAGATGATACAATCCTGTTTGGTAAAGTAGAGGAAGAGAATATATGGGCAGCAAAGAGTATCATGAGAACCTTCGAGTTGGTGTCGGGATTGAAGATTAACTTCGGAAAAAGCTAGCTCATGGGCATAAGTGTTTCAGATGAATGGAAGACAAAGATGGCTCACATATTGAATTGTAAGCAAGGAGCCTTCCCTTGTAAGTACCTTGGAGTACCAATAGGAGGCAACGGTAGAAACATTAAGGTATGGAAACCTCTAATCGAGACTTTTAAGAGGAAATTGTGCTCATGGAAGGGCAGGTTCTTATCCCTTGGCGGAAGAATCACACTTCTCAACTCCGTGCTATCCAACATTCCGGTGTACCTCATGTCAGTGCACTTGCTCCCTAAAGGCGTGATCCTCAGCCTTGACAAAATTCGTAGGAACTTTCTATGGGGGGGTGAGGAGAGGAAGAGAAAAACCAGTTGGGTTTGTTGGGATACGGTATGTCAAAGAAAAATGGAGGGTGGGCTCGGAGTTAAAGAGTTGAGAAGCTTCAATCTCGCATTGTTGGGCAAGTGGTGGAGCAGATTAGCAAGCGGGAATGATGGCCTGTTATATAGGATCATTGAAGGAAAATATGGGAGTGTGGACGGCCATTGGCTTGAGTGGGTTCAAGAGAATAGCCATAAGGGATCTAGTTGGTGGAGGAACATTTACAAGCTAGACCACATTGCGCAGAATAAAAGGGGATGGCTTAGTGACGGATTCAAACTTAAGATGGGAGAAGGGAATACTGTAAGATTCTGGAAGGATATGTGGACTGGTAACCAACCTTTTGCTGACCAATTCCCTGCTCTGTTTCAGGTGTCCTCAGGGAAAGAAGATAGAATTTGTAATATGGGCAAATGGAGGGATGGCAAATGGGAATGGTCTGTACAGTGGAGAAGATCACTATTCGAATGGGAGAAGAATAAGTGGTCAGAGCTCCAGGCTTTACTGGATATCTCAAAACTAGTACAAGAGCAGAAAGATCGGTGGGAGTGGAAGCATGATAAAGATGGTGTGTATGCAGTCAAAACAGCATACAATGTGCTCTCAAGCAACAATGGACATGGGAAAGCATGGATTTACAAAAGGATATGGAGCAGATTAGTCCCAACAAAGGTCAGTGCCTTCGTTTGGCAAGCCATACAAGACAAAATCCCCACTAAAATCAACTTATTCAGAAGGGGCATTATCTCTGATCCTAACCAAGTGCTATGTGGATTGTGTGGGGAAAGCTCAGAAGATAGCAATCACCTGTTTATTCACTGTAGAAATACTTGCCCGGTGTGGCAAAAATGCTTGCAATGGTGGGGATTTCATCGGTTATGCCTAATACATGCCATGAATCTTTTGTGCAACACCATTCCTATTTCAAAGAACCATCAGTGAGAGCAGGGTGGGATGTGGTCTGGCTAGCATTCATATGGTCTATATGGATGGCAAGGAATGGAAAGATTTTTAAGAACTCTGAGTATGAAGTCAACAGAATTTTTGAACTTGTTCAACTCAGAGCTTTCAACTGGATCAAAGGTAAAGCAAATGGTTATTCCTTTAACATGTACGAGTGGATGATGGAGCCCGTGTTGTGCGTAAAAGCTAAACGGAAGAAGTAACCCAGACTTGCAAGGACAAAATGTTTCTGCAGGTATTTTATGACTGAACCGTTCTAGACCTCAGCTTGCAGCTGAATGGTTCCGATAGGGTCAGGAACAGAGCTGCTGGTTTTTGTCCAGCTATTGTAATTTGTTTAAGGGCAGGGTACCCCTTGTACTCCATGAAATACAAATCTTTTTGCTGTGCAAAAAAAAAAATATGTTTTTTTTTTCCTTTTTTCATAGATAAATAGATTGCTCCATTAGTTAAAACAAGTGGTCCTTATCAGTGATTTAATTAAGCAGCATGTTTTAAGTATAAATAAGATGTTTATAAGTGTTTGAGTTCTTAAAAAGACTTAAAAAAACTTCAAAAAACTAAAGCTGATTACCTTAATTTCAAAAAACAAACCTATTCTTAGACCTTTGAAACATTTTCTCTCTTCTTTAGGCACACTCCCCTTCATTTGCACATTATGTCGAAGAAAGACATGGCTAACAAAACTTTTTTGATCCACATGCAGCTAGACTTGGTTCTAAGTCCCCAATAGTCTGGATACTAAACTTGAATAAACAGCTTGTATTTTTTAGACTGAGCTTTGTCTCTAGTCTCATATAAATCCCTTTCCAAACTCATTCCTTCAAGCATAACCTTCTATTTTGGCCATAAAAAAAAAAAGTACATCCTTCTATCTAATCATAGATGAAGTTCAATGGACAAAATTGGGAAGCTTGATAAACAATTAAAGATAGACACCATCTAAATAATCCAATAAAACAATTTTAGAGTGTTGAAACATTCTAGAGTTTAGGCTTAGAGTTCACAGTTCTTCACATTTATTGGAAAAAATTGCAAAATGGATAGTATCAGATTTAAGATCATGATCTACATCAAGGAGGGAAAACAAAATTGAATCATAAGAACTAAGAACATTACTAAATTATTCTTTTCAACAAAGCCTTCATTGAGATATATTCCAGGCTAGGTGGAAATATTTATGGGACAAAATGGGATGCCTTGTTGAAGAATGTCCAAAGAATGTGTCATCATATACTATTCCCCTACTATGGGTCTAAATTTATCTAACCTTAGAGGAAAATGGATAATTACATTTAGCAATGACTTTTTCTTGGGCTGACTCAAATTAATAAACATAGATAAGTTTAAATAGCCATTAAGAGTGCAAAGTTAGAAATATGGGAGGTAAAACTTGTTTCATTTTGAAGCAATAAAATGCAAACCATAGATTTTCCTACTGCAGGCACCCTGCTGGCCACATTCATGGATGACTCTTTAATTTTATTGTAATGGTTTTATTTCAGTACATAATAATTTTCATCAATTATTCAAAATGAAATAAAAAAAAATTGATTAAGAGATACAAAGGTTAAGACTCTAGAGATCACGGGGCACACCATATTGGGTAAACTATAAGATACAAAAGATAAAACAAAGCATGGTATCTAGTAAGGAAAGACAAAAGGAAATTCAATACCAAAAATCAAGGTTTAGTCTTAAGATCATAAATAGATGCTAAGAGGCCTCCATTACACCTGAAGCCAGTAAGAAAGCAAAGGAAGCAAGAAATCAATTACTAAAATCAGCAGGTGAGAAAGAAAATTAGAAGGAAGAAACAACATCTCATTACCTATTGCACCTGATGGCTGAATTTATAAATGAAGAGAGGAACGATGTGACAGGCACTTCTAACAATACCACCTCCAAAATTGCACCTGCAAATAGCAAGTAATAAGCCATTTTTTTATTAAAGGTAACTAAAATTTAATCTCTAAATCAAACATCATAAACAACTTTGCTGCCAAAGCACCCAATTAGTTTTATCCTAGGTTGATCCCAAACTATAAACAAAAGAATTTGCATACAGATTAATGCCAAATTATTCCAACCTAACTTCATGTCTGTATTATTTTGGTTCTCCTTTTCTATCTTTTTTTATTATTATTATTATTGTTAATTTCTTAATCACCATTCATCTCCATTAGAAAATCCAATGACATGAGAAACTCAAAATTGAAGCACAATTCCATTTAGAAGAAACAATACGAACAAAGTCAAATTTAATTTTAGGATTCTTTCACAAAATACAGACACGAACTCACTCGGCCAATTGAATCGAGGCAAGACTTGGTAACTGAAAAACAGATTATTATAAAGAGAAAGCGGGGTTAAGAGAAATACATGAAGGGACGTAGTATGGAGGATGTTGGGACTGATCTTGAACATTAGCTGTATTGTAGTAACCGACTGGCAGTGAAATCTTACTGTCGATTGCTGATAAGTTTCCGAAGTAAACAGAAATAATTAGGTTAAGAAATGAAATTAAACAGAAACAACAAGGATAAGAAACTGACATGATGACTGAAGGATTACTAGGGTTTTGAAGAAAGAAGATGGAATCATAGAATCAAAGGCATAGTATGAAAACAATGACTGAAATTCTTGGATTGCTTCGTCTGCTATTGAAAAGTTTGGTAGTGTTACTGAATAAAATAAAATGCCGCAGAGGAATTCACTTCCCGATCCGTCCAAACCGTTCGGAATCCCCTCCCTCTCTCACACAGAAAATTTGTGCAGAAAAGTTTCAAACATTGAATGCTTCCTCCACCACCACCCATCATCCACCTACAATGGTTTCTGACAGTTACAAAACAAAAACCGCCAGACGAAAATCTCTGAAATCAAGAAGCCTATTGTGAAAGAGAAAATTAGCTAATGGAGGCTTAATTTAATAAATTTATTAATTATTGATTTTTTTTTTTTAGTCTAAAATTTTTATTTTTTAAAATATATTTATTAGTTTTAAAAATTATTTTAATGTTGTCTCTTAAAACTGTTACTCACATTAACATAACTTCACATTGACACTGGGTGGCATCATGTACGCTACTGTGTGGCGTAGGAGAGAAAAATTTTCCGCTTCTCTATATAGAATTAAATGCTTAATACAAAAAATTAATTAATTATAATATAAAAAATTTAAACCATTAACCAAACTTAACACAAAAATTTTAAATAATATAAAAAA